CTATACCCTCTAGAAATCATCACGGTAGCACTTGGCAGCTCCAGTTTTTGTTTTGAAGCGTACATTGATGAAATAGCAAGTATGCCCCAGACAATTGGTTCATAAAAGAGAAGCCATAAAGACTCCAATTTTCCGAAAACCGTCCTACGCATTGCTAGTCTTCTGCTGCAGTCTTCACCATTCTGGTGGCCTCCAGAGGCTTTGGCCTACCACTCCCAGCAGCCTCAGCCAGTACGTGCTTGCTGGGGCTGCTGGGAGTTGTAGGCCAAAAATATCTAGAGGGCACTGGATTGGCGACAGCTGTTCTAGTGTATTGCTAAGCTCTTTGGACTAATGCACAGGTACAGGATTCCATCTCTTAAGTAACGACTAAGAGAAGGCTGCAGGATCTAAAAACTATACCTGCCTCTTCTTCCTTCGGCAAATTCCCTTTCCTTGCCTAATCGAGCATTGAGCAAACTTAGCCAAGTGGGTTACGAATCCTGGTCAAGCAGGGGACTAGACCAGCCTTGGCCAATGTGCCAACATCTCCCTTAAGCATGGATAGCAGTGGGTGGAGGAAATATACATTTCCCATGACCTTAATCTGCCCTCTGAGTTGAGCCTACAAGATCAGAGCTGTTCCATTTGCCCTGGTCTTCCCCAATGGACAGATAGGAGTGGATTTAACCCAGCAGTGGTGATATCTAGGAATGCATCAATCCATCGCTCATATTAAGAGAAGGGTGCATGGCTAGGTTCAAATATACAGTCTCCCCCCGCCTTGACCATTGGACAATAAATGGCACCGGAAGATAACTCAATATTTCATAAAAACCAGCATATCCTCTAATCACGATTAGTCAATTCCTGATGAAATTAAGTTTTATTTTGAATGAAAATGTCCAGTGGAGTTACAGCCTTCATGAGGCCACAGAACACAACATACTAGCGTTGAATATGCATTGGCTTACGTATAAGTCTCCTGCAAAAAAAATACGCGGCACCATTGTTAACGCACGGGAGCAAGCACATCTTTGGTTTGAAAAGCAATTGCAAGAGAACCCATGAGCTTTTTCTGAAACCAGGACTAGAAAAACGGAAGCAAGGTCAATAAAGAGTACCTAAGGCACCTCATGAAAAGATGATTGCTGTCATCTTCGCTACACTCCTAGAGACCTCCAAATAATGCTCCATTATACTAAACACGCAAGCCGAGGAATGTGATGCTTAAGTGCAGGAAGGCCGCATCGCCGTCAATTCCGGGTAGCAAAAATAAAAGTTTTATTAACATGTCGTGAGGAAAAGATTAACGGCTAGAAGAAAAAAATTGCGGAAGTGGAAGCCACCAGCTCTTTCCCCTGCCTCCTCACCTCAAATACTTCCGTCCTGGAGTTTGTGCAATGCAAGCTTGGGGCAGAAGCGAAAAGCTGGAGAACGAAAGCCCATTTTCTCACATGCCTGGGTTGCACTTTGTTTGCTGTCCAGGAGATGGGAGAACGGGAGAAACGAGGAGAACAAATTGTGCCTGTTGTAAAGATGAATGTAATGTAGCATATACTCGTCTCAGAAAAACAATGCACAGTGAGGATGGTCTGTACCCAGAGTGCGCAATAAAACAGCAGAACGTGGACTGCAGCACAGTATTTTGCTCCCTCGCCTCTCGACAACTTGCGGCTTTTAAGTTAACAAAAGTTGGCCTTTTATGTTGTGATGGAGGCGATCAGGTCTCAAAAGTGGGGGAGTCTATCATTTACTTCTTTCACTCACTGTTGAAAATCAGCCTTCTGTTTTGCCAGAATATTCAAGTCAAGGTCGCAATGAATCATTGGCACCAAGAACGTTTTCTAACCTATTACTTGGAATAATTGCTCATTGCCCAGCTAGCTGCCTGCATGTTGGTGCTTGCAGCATTCACTTGCAAGGACCACTTTCCCACCACTCCAGAGTTCTTAAATGTTCATTCGAACGCCGTCCCTATGCATGGATTGGGATAGCCTCACCCTGTGTCCCATGCCTGGGATGTCTGCTTAGGCATTGCTTGATACTAACACACAGTAGATAGAGCCCGACTCATGAAGATGCTTTCTGTGTGGTCGCTGTATGCGCACACACACTTGTGAGGAGCACGAGTTGTGCAGATCGGAGCGATGCCCATTGGGCTCTTCATGCAACAGCCTTGATTTGAATTCGACTCCAAGCACCTGACTGTCAGGCAGGGAGCCAAGACAGTGCGCTTGTTTAGAATATTTGCATAGGGCTTCAGCATCATAGAACAAATGTGGGCCACTGTTGAACCACTGGGACAGTATCAGCATTTGGCATCAGTTCGCCATCAGTGCACACAATGATGCCATTATGTTTTAATCTACAGCGATGACTGCTCCGGCATAATAACTGCAAGGTTGGGAGACACTGCACACTACTAGATACAATTGTTCCTTTGATGCTTGCTTGGGCAAGGAATACATCAGTCTTGCACCCGGGATTATTTGTATTCCACACTTGTGCAGTGTGCGAGTGCAAATTTGGTTCCCTGGCACAGATTTCATGATCTCGGGAGACTTTAGAAGTAGAAAGGTTGTAGTTTTCATGGTTGTGGAGGACTGCCGAGGGAACACAACCAAGTAGTGTGTCACTAGTTTGCAATTACAGGCGAAGAGCCTTTTTGCTAGGAGCTACAAAGCGTTTAAATGCATGGGGACATTTCAGTGAGCCTATTTTATATTCAGTTTTGCTCCTCTATATCTGTGCAGATATTTAAATCTTTGATTAGTTTGATACTTTACGAAGTCAGAATTTGAGCAGGGTTAGTTTACGCCAACTGCTTTGGGGTTCTTAAACCTTTGCACATACATTTATCTCTTACATTTACTTGTGGGTTGGGTTCAGAGTTAGTTGATACGTAGAGTGTGGGATTTAAGTCAGCCATGACTTCACTTGCAATGCACCCATTTTTAAAGATGATTTTTGTATTTTTTAACAACCCACTATTTAACTTGGCAACTAGCTGGCTTTTATGTTAATTTAATTTTTATGTAAGACTTTATAAAAACTGAAGCGGCAGGTAAAATCTTAGAAGGGCCTCTCTCCTCTCACACCGGAGGGAATTCCTCATTTAAAATGCTGGCTGCTGTGAGTTGTAACATCACAGGACAGTAGCTATTCGTGAGTAAAAACTAGGACTACTTTGTAGTGCAGTTTGTCAGATTCTAACTAGTGGCTTCTTCTTTGCTGGGATTAGAATGGAACCCTGTCTGATTAACCAGACAGTTCCTACTTTGTTTTCAAAATCTGAATTAAGCTTGTTGGCTGTGTGTGTGTGTGTTTCTGCTTTTCTGCATCTGATCTCCTTGAAGCCGCTTTCCCTTTTGGCTCCCTGACTAATTTTGTTGGGCCTCATTCACCAACTTTCAGGCACTTGCAGCCTTTTCAATGGAGAAAAGCACTTGTGGGGTACAGGGGCGAGGGGAGAGTTAGCAAACCCCCAAAGATGCTGGGAAGACAATGTGCTTCCTGGCAGGGAGGCAGAGGCCGGTTTTGCAGAGACTTCCTCCCCCAACGGTTAGCAACCACTCAAGCAGAGCGTGACAATTTGTCGTCAACCGAATTTTGCTTTCCTCGTGGTGTATGGCAGAGATGGAGTTAGTTCAAGCTTGCAGATCTACTTTGGGGTCTTTCCCCTCTCCCTCTACTTCTAGAATCCCCAGGTGTCCACCAGCAAGCACCAAGTGAAGAAGAGTAGCTCAGAAATAGAGGTGAACAAAGAATTAAGGGCTCGTATCTCAGCTTAAGAATTCATTTCAAGGCCAGAACTCATCTCACAGACCTTTCACAGAGTTATCCATTCCTAGGCTTTCCCCACACCCTTCAGCAACTTAATTTGGCTGCAGAGTTGTGGCCTTGTTAAACAAGTGGGAGTCAGAAATCCTTGGTGATCTACTGGTAAGCACCCAGAAGTCTGCTAGTAGATCTCAATCAACTTTCTGTCTATGGTCTTTCTTGGTAATGCTTCGTTCAAATTGTGCTTTGTGGCTAAACGCTTTGTCACAGCTTTTCAGCAATGAAAATCTGCCATGACTTTGGGGGGCAGGAAGCAGGGAGGAAGAAGTACAGGCTATATTAACAATCCACTATTACAGAAATAATAATAATAATAATAATAATAATAATAATAATAATAGCAAAGCAGGAGCACATCGGCAGCCCAGGCCCCAAAACTGGCGGGTTAAAACGCTCCACGTTAGTTCTGGGAATTATCAAGTGTCATCTGCAATAGCCAGAAAGCCTAGTTACATTTTAATGCACACATGTTTAAAAACTGTACAACATTTAGTGTTCACGTAATAGATGCGTGATGAACCGCTAACACTTTTGGCATTCTCTGAGAAAGCAGGTCGAGCTCTGCAATGGGTCCTGTACCGCGTTTTGGTTTCTTCGTTCGATTGTACGGGAAACTTGTGCTCCTAAAAGTACGCCGAGGGTCTGACCTCTTCCTTTCTCTCCTCTCTCCACGTGGCAATTCTCTTCCTTCAGGTGTGGCCCATTTCCTGTTCGCTCGGAGCGACCTTTGGCTACGTGGCCGGTCTCCTTATTGCACCTTTGTGGATATACTGGAACAGGAAGCAGCTTACGTACAAAAGCAGATAGCTGGCGCAAAGAGAGAAGGCGTTTTTTGTTGCTGTGCTGATTCCTGGCGTCGTGACTGCGCAGAGACCACGGTCAAAGCAGAAGGCGATCGAAACACTTTGGGAGCATCGTCAGGCCTTCCTCCTCCTCCTCCTCCTCCTCCCAGCACGTTTTGCATGCTGTGGCAACATGATAGTGCATCTGTCGCTTGTCCTAAATTATGTTACCCCTGAGAGATCGTACTTTTCCTTCCAGCCTGAATAAAGTGTTTGTAACAGATGCTGCTTGCTCCTTCACTGATTTGGGATTTCCCTCCCACACATTCTGGATTTTGCCCGATGCCAGTTTCCTAAAATCAGCTTCCCAATTGATCTCGGATCTGTGGATAGAGCGTTGTAGTTGTTGTTTTAAGTGTATGTCTGCACGGTATTGGATATTTCACAGTATGTGTGGCCATCGTCCCGGCGGGTCTCACGTGATCAGGCAGCAATTAATGCACCTGGAGCCTATCCGTTTTTTCACCGTGTGTTTCTTTGGAGTTAAAATGGCTATGATAGCTTCATCGAAAACCGTCTTCAGTCCTTTCTGGGTTAAAGCCGAGCACTCCACGTAGCAGTAGGCTCCTATCTGTCAAGAAAACAAATGTCTTTAATAGCTGCACCGGCACGCAAAGATACATCCCTCCTTCCCCAAACTCCATTTGCCAGCTTGGGGGCGCCTTTGTTTTTATGGAACACATCAAGGTTTGTTTTGTCTTTGCCCTGTGAAAAACCTCCTACTGTTCTAACCCTCCAGGAAAAGAGGTTACGCCTTCACTTTGTCTTTCGGTGACAGATTTAGAATTCTTTTCATTAGGTGCAGTTTCTGAAGGAAACACATTAAGGCTGCACTCCTAACGGGGGCAGGAGGAGGGAGAGGAAATGAAAGGAGGCCAGATCGTCACATCCAACACCCTGCTGGACTTGCATGGGCAAAACAGAGAAAAGGGCAGAATAGCACTCTTACGCCCCTTCGTCATTTTCTGGGATTTTTCTCCCTCTTCAACCATTTCCCTCCCATTGGAAAGCTCCATGGCTGCCATAGTTCCCGCCCCCGCTCCCCCCGGTTTGTCAGTGTGTCGGGGGGCCTGCGAAGGGTTTGGATCATGTTCTGAGAAACTTCCCCACACCTCAGCTAGACTGGTGACTGGGAGCGGCCGCAGAGACCACATAACACCGGTCTTGAAAGACCTACATTGGCTCCCAGTACCTTTCCGAGCACAATTCAACGTGTTTGTGCTGACCTTTAAAGCCCTAAACGGCCTTGGTCCAGTATATCTGAAGGAGCGTCTCCACCCCCATCATTCTACCCGGACACTGAGGTCCAGCACCGAAGGCCTTCTGGCGGTTCCCTCACTGTGAGAAGCCAAGTTACAGGGAGCCAGGCAGAGGGCCTTCTCGGTAGTGGCGCCTTCCCTGTGGAACACCCTCGCACCAGATGTCAAAGAGAACAACAGCTACCAGGCTTTTAGAAGACATCTGAAGGCAGCCCTGTTTCGGGAAGCTTTTAATGTTTGATGTATTATAGTATTTTAATATTCTTTTGGAAGCCACCCAGAGTGGCTGGGGAAGCCCAGCCAGATGGGCGGGGTATAAATAATAAATTATTATTATTATTATTACCTCTAATTCAACCACCGACATGTCTCCAATTGGTCTCTATCAACACTGGAGCTCCGATGTAAGCAGCCTCAACCTTGTACGGTGGTACCTCGGGTTACATACGCTTCAGGTTACAGACTCTTCTAACCCAGAAACAGTACCTCGGGTTAAGAACTTTGCTTCAGGATGAGAACAGAAATCGTGCTCCGGTGGCGCGGCGGCAGCAGGAGGCCCCATTAGCTAAAGTGGTGCTTCAGGTTAAGAACAGTTTCAGGTTAAGAACGGACCTCCGGAACGAATTAAGTACTTAACCCGAGGTACCACTGTACACCTGAAGGAGCATTTCCACCCCCATCGTTCAGCCCTGGACGCTGAGCTCCAGCTCCGAGGGTCTTCTGGCAATTCCCTCACTGTGAGAACTAAGGTTACAGGGAAACCGGCAAAGGGCCTTCTCGGTAGTGGCCCCCGCCCTGTGGAACACTGTCCCATCAGGTGTCAAAGAGATAAGTAACTACCTTGGTTCCTGAACGGCTTAGTTGTTGAACAAATCGGCTCCCGGACGCCGCAAACCCAGAAGTGTTCTGGTTTGTGAACGTTTTTCAGAAGCCAACCATCCAACACAGCTTCTGCTTGAGTGCAGGAAGCTCCTGCAGCCAATCAGAAGCCACACCTTGGTTTTCGAACCGTTTCAGGAGTCGAATGGATTCCCAGAACGGATTACGTTTGAGAACCAAGGTGCCACTGTATACAACTTTTAGAAGACATCTGAAGGCAGCCCTGTATAGAGAGGTTTTCAATGTTTTGGTATTTTATTATGTTTCTATATATGCTGGAAGCCACCCAGAGTCAGTCAGATCAGTGGGGTATTATTATTATTTAGGACAAGGGCCATGGTGGTTTGCACAGCAGCTGGAAGGAAGCATCTGACTCAGATCTCAATTTTGTAGAGATTAAACTCTCCAGCAGGAATAAGCCGATAAACAAAAGTAGCTGTGGTAACGTGGCATCACCTCGACCGATATTTTAAGTAATATTCATTTTGGAATGCCCTAAAGGTAAGGCTAAACATTTTAAGTCTCAATGGCTCGCTTCATTAATGTGTTTTATTGCTTTCTGTTGTGAAGAGTTGTTTTCTAATTATTAGAAAAGTATTAAATGGGCCACCCTCGTCAGGAATATTAAGGCTATGTTTTATTCATGAGCAAACCGGCTTCATTAACGGCTAATATTGTGCTGTGCTCACTAATTCGGCTATCCCCGTATGCACCAAATACAGCAACCTCCGGTCACTGCTGTTTTCTGCGGAAAGGTTTTCCACTAAATAAGTCTGAAAAGAAGAATTGTGCCATTTGACATTTTTGTTGATTAGAGAATTCACACTCCATCCAGAATGAAGTTGAGCACTGGGGTCATCATGAAAATGCACTCTCTGCGACATTATTGCCCAAACCATTTGCTCTCCAAGATCAGGCTCTGCAAAAACAGAAAGCTTACAGTGGAAACTGGCATGCGACAGCACTGATTGGCTGGTGCCTGTGCTGTCATGAACTCACCTCCCGTTCTCAGCTGCAATTTTAAAAATTGTTTCAGAAACAAGGCAATTTTTTTAAAAACCCAAACAAACAGGCACAATTATTTTCCTAGTTTTTCAATCAGTGCCACACGACAAATGCAAATAATTGGTTGACAGGGCATCTATCTATCTATCTGTCACTCAATTGGCAAAGGACAACTATTTGCAAGGGCTTGGGATAACACTCCCCCGTGGCTTTGCGCTGAAAGGTTTATTTCTGGTACCCCACCTCAAAGTGAAATGCAAATTCCAAGTGTTATCAGTGTTGACCAATGCTGTCATATAATGCTATCTAGGTAGGCACACACAATTACATTGCATTTGCGGAACTACAGGGCCTTCTCAGTGATGGCACCTCCTAGCCTCCCTCACAAATGGGGTTAAGAGAGCCGTGTCAGTTTGGAGGGCATTTGGGGAAAACAGAAAACAAGTTATCTTTATGTTCTTATTCAGCTCTGTTTTGCTGCTGCTGGTGTTGTGACGGTGTTGCTGTTTCCTTATGTTTTTATATGTCTTGTTTTTATATTGACGTTAAGCACCTTGCAGATCCTTTTGGATGCATCGGCAAGAATAAAATAAACGTTAAAGGCTGATACACTTTTTTTAAAAAGTGAGAGAGAAAGGGTGAAGAGAAGAGGGAAAGAGAGAATACAGCACGCAACAGAGGAGGAAACTCCAGACCAGATGCCTCCAAATCTCTAAATGGCCAGCTTACCTCTTTTGCCAGTTTCTGTCCCTGCTCCATACAAATTGGTTTCTCCTTCATGTCATTCAGCCTTGCTAAAGTTTTGGGGTCATCACGGAGATCGATCTGTTAGGAAATAAATGTGCACACTTTCTTATGCTCACTTCAGAATCCACTTTAGATATTTAAAAACAAAACAAAACAAAAACCAGACACATAGGATTGAATCCACTTAGGTCCCAGGGAAATTAATGGGACTTTGAGTCAGTCATTACTAACTTCGCATTAAATACTAGGGGTCTGAAGTGCAACTAACTTAGGTTGGACCCAACCCATATTCTGAGAGTTAAATTGGCAAGACCTGAGAGCAAAAGTCTCTTAGCAATAATAATAATAATAATAATAATAATAATAATAATAATAATAATTTATTATTTGTACCCCGCCCATCTGGCTGGGTTTCCCCAGCCACTCTGGGTGGCTTCCAACAAAGATGAAAGATACACTAAAATTTCACATATTAAAAACTTCCCTGAACAGGGCTGCCTTCAGATGTCTTCTGAATGATAGGTTTATCGCTTTGACATCTGATGGGAGGGCGTTCCACATGGCGGGCGCCACTACCGAGAAGGCCCTCTGCCTTGTTCCCTGTAACTTGGCCTCTTGCAGTGAGGGAACTGCCAGAAGGCCCTCGGAGCTGGACCTCAGTGTCCGGGCAGAACGATGGGGGAGGAGACGCTCCTTCAGATATACTGGACCGAGGCCGTTTAGGGCTTTAAAGGTCAGCACCAACACTTTGAATTGTGCTCGGAAACGTACTGGGAGCCAATGTAGGTCTTTCAAGACCGGTGTTATATGGTCTCGGCGGCCGCTCCCAGTCACCAGTCTAGCTGCCGCATTCTGGATTAGTTGTAGTTTCCAGGTCACCTTCAAAGGTAGCCCCACGTAGCTATGAGGTTAGGCTGGCCTCAACTAGAGCCAGAGCTTTTTCGGTTGCGGCTCCAACCTGGTGGAACGCTCTGTCGCAAGAGACAAGGGCCCTGCAGGACTTGACATCTTTCCGCAGGGCCTGCAAGACAGAGCTGTTCCACCAGGCCTTTGGTCAGGGCGCAGCCTGACTCCCTCCTTTGGCAATCTTTACAAAACTTTAGTTTATGGTTGCCATCAATTTGTATTTTAATTAATTTTTATAATGTTTTTATAATGTTGCATTGTTTTAGTGTTGTTAGCCGCCCTGAGCCCGGCTTCGGCTGGGGAGGGCGGGATATAAATAAAATTTATTATTATTATTATTATTATTATGCTATGTTCTGAGTGGAAACGGGTGAACATACCTTTCTGCAGATTCCTGTGGGGCACAGGAATGAACAAATTCCTGTGCCCCACAAATAACCCAGAGATGCATTTTAAATAAAAGGACACATTCTACTCATGTAAAAACACGCTGATTCCCGGACCATCCGTGGGCCGGACTGAGAAGGCGATTGGACTGCATCCGGCCCCCAGGCCTGAGGTTGCCTACCCCTGTGTTATAGCTAAGCAGGTCTGGATCTAAACATCTCTCTGATGGGACAATGCCTGGGAACCCTATGCATTTGTAGGGGAGAATTAGTGGGAAGAGAGATGGGGGGTTAACTCCCTGGCTGCGTGTTTATACTTGGGGGGGGGGGAGAGAGAGCCCAGCCAGCTCCAAGTTCAGAAAGAGCTGAGAACGAAAACACCTAGAGGTAGGACCCTCAGTCATTTCTCCCCTGCATTGCTAAAAGGTAAAGGACCCCTGACAGTTAAGTCCAGTCGTAGACGACTCTGGGGTTGCAGTGTTCATCTTGCTTTATTGGCCGAGTGAGCTGACGTTTGTCCGCAGGCAGTTTCTCCGAGTCATGTGGCCAGCATGACTAAGCCACTTCTGGCGAAACCAGAGCAGCGCACGGAAACGCAGTTTACCTTCCCGCCGGAGCGGTACCTATTTATCCACTTGCACTATGACGTGCTTTCAAACTGCTAGGTTGGCAGGAGCTGGGACCGAGCAACGGGAGCTCACCCTGTCGCAGGGATTCGAACTGCTAACCTTCCGATCGGCAAGCCCTAGGCTCAGTGGTTTACACCACAGCGCCACCCACGTCCCTGCATTGCTACTATTAAGCAAACCCATATTTTGGAAATGTGAGTCTTCCATCCTATTGTGTCATTCCATCCTGACTCTAAAAGCAGTTTCACACTTCCCTTTTCAATACGGAAAATAATAAAAACAGTAAGACCTGCAATTCAGTTTCTTTTTCCAATCGTCCGCCGAAAAGAACTTTGTAAGAGCTGGACCTTACAGTGCCGCAGCGACCACTCAAGTATATATAAATGCAAAGTATCTCAGAAGAAAGAAGGTGGACCCCCCCCCCCCCGCAAGTCTGCCTTCTGTCTGATAGGCCTGAACTTATTCTGTCCACCTCACACAAGAGGCTTGGATTTCCCCCCTCCCCCAGCGACAACAAAGATTGGCCGGTGACCACGAGGATCTTTATTTCCATCTCTCGCAGGATGTGATACAGAGCCTTGCCTGAGTCACCAGCCTGCATCCCACAACTGCTGCTTTTATCACCCAGTGTTCAATACGCAGAGCACATCCAAGATGCAGATCTTTGCTTGCATCCTAAATTTTGGCATCGGTCTTAACTTTAGCTGGGGGCGTGGGGGGGGGGTCTCATGTACAAAGGAGGTTCATCCAACTTAAGAGCATGGCTTGCAACACAATTTTGAATTCCTCCTCAGGGCAGTTTCTTCATTCCCTGGCTTCATTGTTGTGTGCTGATCACACAAGGAATAGAGGAGGACTCTATCACCTCTAAAATGTGATTATTCTTGAATAACCCCCTGCTCTATTTGTTGCATGGGACGCGGGTGGCGCTGTGGGTAAAAGCCTCAGCGCCTAGGGCTTGCCGATCGAAAGGTCAGCGGTTCGAATCCCTGCGGCGGGGTGCGCTCCCGTTGCTCGGTCCCAGCGCCTGCCAACCTAGCAGTTCGAAAGCACGTCCGGGTGCAAGTAGATAAATAGGGACCGCTTACTAGCGGGAAGGTAAATGGCGTTTCCGTGTGCAGCTCTGGCTCGCCAGAGCAGCGATGTCACGCTGGCCACGTGACCCGGAAGTGTCTCCGGACAGCGCTGGCCCCCGGCCTCTTAAGTGAGATGGGCGCACAACCCTAGAGTCTGTCAAGACTGGCCCGTACGGGCAGGGGTACCTTTACCTTTACCTTTACTATTTGTTGCAGACTAGAAATATAATGGCACCTTGGGTTAAGAACTTAATTCGTTCTGGAGGTCCGTTCTTAACCTGAAACTGTTCTTAACCTGAGGTACCACTTTAGCTAATGGGGCGTCTCACTGCCGCCACACCGCTGGCGCGCAATTTCTGTTCTCATCCTGAGGTAAAGTTCTTAACCCGAGGTACTATTTCTGGGTTAGCGGAGTCTGTAACCTGAAGAGTATGTAACCTGAAGCGTCTGTAACACTGAGGTACCACTGTATACCGCAAGGAAAGTCTGTATACATGGCAGAAGCAAGAAACTATGGTAATAGGTTTGTGTGCGCGCACACACACAAGTGCTGTAAGTCACTTGGAGACCTTTGAGTGACAAGCGACTAATTAAGTGAAATCAATGAATGAAATGGAACAACGGGGCTGGGTCAAAGGGGGAGTGGCTTGAGCCAGCCTAGAAAAATGGAATCCGCCTTTCTACTAAGTCAGACCATTGGTCCAGCCAGCTCAGAGCTGTCCACATTGCCTAGCAACTGCTACCCAAGATTTCAGACAAGAATCTGTCTGGATCCTACTTGGAGATGCCCAGAATTGAACCTAGGACCTTCTGCACTGTATGGGCAATCCGGAAGATAAATTGCATTTCAAGGAGTTAGTGATCTGACATGGTTACCTGCCTGTTCCTTTCCCCTCCCTGTCTCTTGTTAAGTTCTTTGATGGCAATGGAGAACAGCCTTCAATGATCAGCTGGGAGGAAGTGATAGTGCTAGGTACCTTCTTTGATGCTCGACATTGTTTTGAGAAAATGAGGCATTAGGAGGAGGTGGCTAATGAATAATCTGCATGTACCCAGTCAGGTGAGCCACACAGGCTAGCTAGCTATAAATCGGATGGTTGTGGGCAGTTTTTGAGAAGCTTGTGCACGGACTGATCAGCCGCGGGGCTGAGCAAACTGAAGCTACCTGGGGGAGTCACTTTGCCGCATCTTGAGGGCTTCCAAGTGGCAGATTGAAATGCCTGCTTGGTATGTTTAGAATAAAATATTTAATCTTTTCACTTTTGTATTGCTTCTGAATCTCCTTTTAAAAGAACCACCTTGCATTTGGCAAGACATGCGCTCAAAGCAGATTGCTCTACAGCTGAGCCACAGCTGAACTGCGGAGGAGAAGGGATGCTATGAAGAAACATGACCAAGGAGGGAATGTAAGCCAGGCTGACAGAGAAGAAGTGAAGAAGGGAAGGGTCAGGCACGAGCCTAGGGGTGTCAGTTCAGCCTAGGGAAGTGTGGGAACCACCACCCTGGACCAAACACTCGCCCAAGCTAAACCTGTTACCAGCCCTGCTTTGCCCTCTTCTAGTGTTTTTGCCTGGCTGGAACGTGCCTGCGAATTCTGGTAATGCTTCTTGTTTGCCTGCATGGGCGACAGAGACGGGCTATTGGTTGTGTGTGTGCAGAAACGAGTCTTATGTATGAAGGCAACAGTCACATTCAGTGCTCTGCCCATTTGCCTCTGGTCCTGCCCATCACACTGGCAGGGAATGTGGGCCCTGGTCTGGAAAAGATTCGGAGAGAGGGATCTGGGCTGAGTATAACAGAACAGGGTGGGGGTGTTTATCTGCATTCGTTCACATAAAACACGAAACATCCAGACCTACCTGGGTTCCGACTAACAAATAGGGTACGTTCGGCGCATATTCCTTCAATTCCGGCACCCACTCCTCCTTCACATTCTGAAAGGAAGCTGGATTCACCACCGAGAAGCAGATGAGGAAGACGTCAGTCATGGGGTACGACAGCGGCCTCAGGCGATCATAGTCTTCCTGGCGACAGAAGGATGTTTTTAGAAATTCATAGTTTCTCCAACAGTGCCTTATGTTTGGGCCTCTTTGATATCTGTTTTGCTGTTAGTGGTAAATCCATTTGGTCAAATAAACTAAATACCAAAAAATCACATCTTTCCTCAAGGCAGCTCAAGGCAGTGTCTGTGTGTGTGAACATATATTGTATTTTTTGCTCTTTAAGACTCACTTTTTCCCTCCTAAAAAGTAAGGGGAGATGTGTGTGCGTCTTATGGAGTGAATGCAGGCTGCACAGCTATCCCAGAAGCCAGAACAGCAAGAGGGATTGCTGCTTTCACTGCGCAGCGATCCCTCTTGCTGTTCTGGCTTCTGGGATTCAGAATATTTTTTTTCTTGTTTTCATCCTCGAAAAACTAGGTGCATCTTGTGGTCTGGTGCGTCTTATAGAGTGAAAAATGCAGTAGTAAGATGCTTTCTACTGAGTCAGACCATTGGCCCCTTTAGCTCAATATTGTCTGCACTGGCTGGCAGCTGCTCTTCAGGTTTTCAGCCAAGAGATCTCTCCCAGCCCTACCCGGAGTTGCCTGGGATTGAACCTGATGGGTTTACTATGCAGCTACGGCCATTTCACAAAGCTATGGAGTTCTTTCCCCATTTTATCCTCCGTTAAAGATGGCGCATGCTGAAATACAGTTCATTTAAGCTAGCAGGCAGTTCATTTAAGCGAGTTTTATGGCCCTTTAAATCTGTGCTTACCCAGCCCCAGGCTGACACTTTAACCATTATACCACACTGCCCTCTTAGGCAGGTTTCTGGCCTTAACCTGTTCTACAGCTTTGCACTTGCTGTGTGTAGACAGAAGGGCTGTGATGGACCTGCTCATTTCGACACAAGACCATCGGCCTCCACCTTTTGCCATCTTTATGTCTGGTAGAGAACAAAGCTGAGGGAAGAACATTGTTAACGTTTCTTCCGAAATACAGTACTTTCTGAGGTCATCTACTGAATTACCTCAATTCTACTGGATATTGTGATGGCTTAAAAAAATTAGTAATGTTGGTTCATGGAGGTCACTGGCCATTAACAACTAGAGATACAAACTTTCATGTAAAAAAGACAGTAAACCTAACTTGTGACACACAGCACATGATAATCCCTATTTTGCATGCCTTAGTTCTTTCTACCCCCAGTCATTATACTGGCAAAAGCCAGAATAATGGGTGGAGAGCACAGGAAAATCTAAAAGTAACCTCCCAACTACAAATTAGGTTTCTTAACAAAACATACAGTCTTCAGACTGTTGTAAGACTGAAGACATTGGTTTATGAGAGAGCTAAGAGTGATTTGAGAGGGGCAGCGCTACCCGGGTATACATATATTGTTCTTTTGTCCCTCTTTCACCTCTGAGCAAATAGGTTTGGCAGGTTTTTGAAAGAATACAAGAGCAAAACCTGTTTGATCAGGCCAGGTTCAGGTTAAGAAATTTGCTTCAGGATGAGAACAGAAATCGTGCTCCGGTGGCGCGGCAGCAGCAGGAGGCCCCATTAGCTAAAGTGGTGCTTCAGGTTAATAACAGTTTCAGGTTAAGAACGGACCTCCGGAACGAATTAAGTACTTAACCCGAGGTACCACTGTACCGTATACAGTTCTGGTGGCGTCGTAAACAAAAGGATATTTTAGAGATGGAAAAGGTTCAGAAAAAGGCCACCAAAATGATCAGGGTGGGGCAACTCCCCTATGAAAGAAGGTTGCAGCATTTGGGACTTTTTAGTTTAGAGAAAAGGCAAGTACGAGATGACATGATAGAAGATTACAACATTATCTGTGGTGTAGAGAAAGTGGATGGAGAGAGAAATTCTCCCTGCTCCCTGCTTTCCCACAGGTATTTTAATATTTTGTTGGAAGCCGCCCAGATGGGCGGGGTATAAATAATAATAAATGATTATGATGATGATGCAGGAGTCTTCAGCCTAACGTGGAGCTCGAACCCACAACCCAGAGATTAAGAGTCTCATGCTCTACCAACTATTGGACTACAACTCCCATAATCCCTGGCTGGGCTGCCAGGACTTGCAGCCAAATAATATCTGGAGGTTAACCATGAGCTACCTTCCAACAGATAAATAAATGCGCACAGCTCCTCCGACACATTCAGGTTCTCTGGCGTTCAAACCAGGCCCCGATCCAGAAAGCAATCCCCAATAAAACCCCAACCGTATTTGCACACACAGAGAGATTCATTCGACTGACTTTCTAGCTCGGAGGAGGAGGGAGTGGGCTTCTTGAGGCATGAAAAATATTCGAAGAACTTGAGTGGAATATGTCGAGCACACAGGGAAGAAGCGAAAGGGGATGAAGTCATGTTTGAAGCACCAACCCACGTATTCCTTTGGCTGGGAAACGGAGGGGTCCTGCTGGAGAAGCAGCCTTAGAAAAAGGAGCGAGAGCAAAAGCTCTCAAAAACGAGACACAGAAACAGCTTCAAAGGCTGCCTTTCTGCACTGGCTGGAAAGGATGCAGGAGAGAGGGAGAGAGGGAGAGGGGGAGAGAGAGAGAGAGAGAGAGGGAGAGGGAGAAGCAGCAGTTTGCACATGGCTTCACATCAGGTTGCGATTTCTGAAATATACGCACAAGGAATCTCAACCGGGAGCAGCTATCAACCCGCTGCTCTCCAAATGCATTGGACTACAACTCCCAGCAGCACCCAGCCAGCACAGCCGAGAGCTATAGTCCCAAACACCTGGGAACTACAGCATATCGGCACCCTTCTGCTGTATAAACCTGACCTCAGGTAAACACAATACAGTGGACGCTTGGGTTGCGAATGTGGGGTGCACGTTAGCAACCCATGTCTGCACATGTGTGGGTTGCGATTCTGTGATTCTGCGCATGCGCAATTTAGCGCTTCTGCGCATGTGCAACCGCCGAAACCCGGAAGTAACCCGTTCCGGTACTTCTGGGTTTCGGTGGTCCGCAACCCGAAAAAACGCAACCTGAAGCAGCTGTAACCCGAGGTATGACTGTATAGTGTCATCTCTGGAGCTGTTTGCGCTGATGCAAAGCTTGGATCCCGGCAATCGGAAGCCACAAGCTAGCTGTCCAGAAATTGTGTGACAAGCTTGTAACTGTGTGAGGAGTCTCTAAAAAATAAAGAAATGGTGGTTTCCAACCAGTGGATTAGGCTCCGTGTCACTATGTGCCCTCCTGCCACCCTCCAGCAACTGCAAAGTGTGTCAGTAACGCTGGCTGAGAGATTGGAGGCTACAGAATGCTACCTTCCTCTACCTAGGCAAGACAAGAACAGACTCTTGAATGCCCTCTTGGTGCTTTGCTGGACTCCAAGTCTCATCAGCCCCATCCAGGATGGTCAGGGATGATGGGAGTTGTAGTCCGGTAACATCTGTAAGGCCACAGGGTCCTCATCCGCGAGCTCCACTTCCCTCCACTGACCCTACTAAATAGAGCTGGAGCAGCCAAAAGAAATAGAGAAATTGAAAAGAACATTGTTCATGTATAGGATAACAGTGGCCAGAATCTTAGTAGCAAGAAATTGGAAAAATACAGCAATACCTAACACGGCAGATTGGCAAATCCTAATGGTAGAATACCTGCAGCTAGCAAAGACAACGGGAAGGATAAGAGGCCAAGCAAAACAAATAGTCTATAAGGATTGGAGAATTTTTAAAGAATACTTTAAAAATTATGGTATAAAAGGAAACTTCTTGGCAGAATTAGACTGAACCTTGCATTGTATAAATGTAAGTTTGTAGGGAAGTTAACAGAAACTATATCAACAGATAATCGACAGATAAAGTACAGCGAGACTAACTGAAGTCATTTTTAATTTCTCGTTTTATAAGTTCTATAATCGTTCACATCATTGGGAGTACAAATGATGTTAGTTATAAGAATTGTGTTGTTTCGTATACTGCTATTGTTTGTTTGTCAATTTATAGTTTGTTTGTTGTTTGTTTATTTGATTGTATGTTGGTTTGTTGGCTTGTTTGCTTTCCTGGCATAAATGTATCTATTTTAAAACAATAAAGATATAATAAATTTAAAAAATAAAATAAACAGAGCTGGAGCAAAGAACAAAGCAATCCTATGATTCTAGGATGCACAGCAACGACTTCTGCTTCGTTTTGCAAACAGACGGTGCCAGTGAAGTCAAATGGGACACACGCCGCCAAAAACCACACAGGAGAGACAGGAGATTGTTGAGCTCTGCAGTGGCAACCTGAGAGGAGCTGAGGCTGGGAACTTGAGCCTCAGGGCTTAGAAGAGGGCAGGGAACAGGGTCAGCTAGCTGTTTGGCACTTACGTAATGAACTTCTGTACCTATGTGAACTCTGAACTATCAAACAACAGGGAGACCAGAACTATTGCAGAATTAAGGCGGCACATTTTGCATCTCGCAAGGCATCCTCCAACAACCAGCCAGCAGAGCTCTTTCCGGTGGTTGACAGGCTGATGACTCCCACTAGGCCAGCGGTTCTCAACCTGTGGGTCCCCAGATGTTGTTGGACTACAACTCCCATCATCCCTGAGCTCTGGCCTTGCTAGCTAGGGGTGATGGGAGTTGTAGTTCAACAACATCTGGGGACCCACAGGTTGAGAAAGGCTGCACTAGGTGAAGCACCCCTAGAGCTCTCAAAACCCTGCTGTGACCAACTGGGCTACACCCTTCCAGGACGACGTTGCTCAACTTCAGAGAGACCTCAGTTCTGTGCCTGTTGCAGTTCCAGCTGCAGTCTACTGTGAATCACTTTCAGTTTATGCAGCCTGGCAATGTGCACAAGGTGCCTGCAGCTTCCAACTTGACCATGTTGAGTTGACCCCTTTCCCTCTTCGCTTGTGAAATCTAACAAAGGAGGGTTGATGGACCAGAGGGTGGTTAATAATTCTCCACTGCGGGGAGGGGTGGTCCCTGCAACCTTAAAGGAGATGGTTCTTTGGCTACTCCAAAAAAACCCCATTGGTTTGGACTATCTACCAGCCAGTCACAACACCCCTTTTTTAGG